TATTATAGAATAATTCTATAATAATATAATATAATAATGATTATAGAAAAATAATACTATATTTCTGTATAAACTGTATAATCATTGAATCATTTCAATGAATCCTAACTATAAAAATATATCTAAATAGGAAGATTAGAAGATAGTAAAAACTACAATTCTAAAGAAAATCAAATCTTAGGTGAAGTACGACGAGGGGTCGAGAGAGAAGTTAAAGGATGAAATTGAGGTGGCAGGGGAGTGAAGAGTGTAGGGTGAGGAGGAGGAGGAAAAGGAGGAGGAGGAGGAAGTGAAGGTGGATAGGAAAATCAGTCGTTTGTGCCAACGACGATGTCCGGAACAGACAAGATGTGCAATGCCAAACCCGTGTTATACGATTCTGAGGAAATAGATTTCCTATGTACATGTATAAATATACATATATATATATATGTATATACCGGGTGTGTATGTTCGAACACGATCAGTTCAAATTATTCTATCTTTAGATACATCAAGAAGTTGATCAATATATATATATTTGATATACAAATTTTGATTTATTTGTGTGAAAACTTCTTAGATTAATTAAATAATAAATGTAATAATATAATTTGGATAAGAGAATTATTTGAAAAAAAAAATTTCTATATAAATTGTTTAATCATTGAAACATTTCAATGAATCCTTATTATAATAATATATCTAAATAGGAAGATTAGAAAATATAAAATAATTTGAAAGAAAATGATTTGAAAAAAAATACAGTTTCTGTATAAACTGTATTATAATTGTTTACATATATATTATTAATATATATTAATATTATCAATTATATTATTATAAATTATCAATTAATATATATATATACATATTTTAAATAATACTCCTAATATATATATTTAAGTATTTTGTTCATTTAAAAAATATAAATTTTTATATTGTATTATATTATATTATATTATAATTATATATCATTATATTTGATAAAAAATATATAATTATAATTGAATAAATTTAAGACCAAAAAATCTTTAATTAAATTATTAATTAAATACAGTTAAATTACATTAAAAATAAAAAAGAAATAAAAATGCTACTATATTGTAATAGTTGTATTAAAATTGTATTGAATTAATTTTTTTCACGTATTGTATGAACAATTAAAAAAAAAAAAAAAAAAAAAAAACTAATGTGTAATATAAAAAATAATCACTTTAGTATATATTCTATTTGAGAAATATTATCTTCAAATATAAAATAGATTTGAAAAGATAAAAAAAAAATATATAATTTTTATTTTGTTTTATGAGTTCTAATAAAACAGTTGAATATTTTATTGCTGATCACGTTCACGTATTTCACCCAGTATGTATATATGTATATACCTATAGATAGAGAGAGAGAGAGAGAGAGAGAGAGAGAGAGATATTTGTATATAGATAGATAAATAGATATGTATAGAGTAAAGGGATTCCTGGTCAAGTTCTGTTGGTGATGTTTATTCGACGAAGTGGGAGATGGAACGGGGGAGGAGGGGGAGGAGGGGNGGGGGAGGAGGGGCAGGGGGTGGAAGAGTATAACGCTGCACTTGTCGTTCGAATTAAATTGCCTCCTAATGCTTTTCCGTGCGAAAGGAAAGGCCCATCTGCTTTTGATTTCGTTCAAACCAGTGTTGTTCATTCAGAATCTTCTTGTCTATCCTTTTAACGTACAAGCATTCCTTTTCTTCATTCTTAGAATTTCATTACTTCTTATCAAGAACGTTAAGTTCGCACCCTCCCCCCCCTTCCCTCCCCTCCCGAATCCAGTAAAAAGAGAAAAAAAATGAAAGAAAGAACAAAAATACACACACTGACTTTGATCAATTGCATTTTTATCTATGGTGTTTTTCATTAATATTCATCTTAAAGTATGGTGATTATATTTCTATTTTTTTTATTTTTATTTCTGTGTGTGTGTGTGTGTGTGGGTGTGTTTTTCTCGTTATTAAAGTTAAATCAATTTCATTGTTAGTTATATTTTATTTTATTTTATTTTATTTAGTTGTTTATTTTGTTTTTTTTTTTTGGTTTTTCTTTTTTGCAGGATAATATTTGAATGAACGTAATTTTTAGGAATATTTTGTATTATTTTGTCCTTTTTTCTTTATTTTCACTTTCCTTTTGTCTTTTTAGTGGTATAGTTATAGTATAATAGAATATAATTTAATTAAATTATATTTCTTTTTTTTTTATAATTATTATACGAGTGAAAAGTATATATCTTTATTATTATTATTATTATTATTATTATTTTGTTGAGACGTTAGAACGAAATTTGATTTGTTTCCAAAAAAATAAAATGCATTCAATTGAAAAATAATTTTATCGATGAAATAAAACACAAAGAAAATGTATTTGATATTAAAAATATAAAATTTGTATCTTTGGAATAAAAAAATATCTTCTTCTCCTTCTTCTTTTTTTTTTTCTATTCAGTGAAAATATTTATTTTTCGATAAACATTAATATTTCGTTTATCCTCTGAACGACAAGAAAAAAAGAAAAGAAAAGAAAAGAAAAGAGTAAAGTAAAGTAAAAGAAAAAAAAAAGAAAATAAAAGAAAGAAACATAGTGAAAAGGGTGGATAAGAGAAAAGGGTTGAAACGAAGTAGAATTCGATCTCCCTTTGTAGAAAGAGATAAGATTGTTTGTCCATAACGTGGCCGGTCCAATTGTTAGAACCAAGCAAGCAAGAAAGAAGAAGAAGAAGAAGAAGAAAAAAGGGTGGAGACGAAGATGAGTTCAAGGGAGAAAGGGAAAGGGTTCTATTCTTCTTCTTCTTCTTCTTCTTCTTCTTCTTCTTCAAACCCACTCTTATCTGAAAACAACGAGCCTTTCGGCTAAATTGCTTGGCCCGAGCAAAACGTGATTAATTGATCTGGTTTCTTATTTTTTTTTTCCTTTTTTATTTTTTTTTTTTTTTTATTTTCCCTTTTTTTCTAATCTTCCTATTTTTTCGTATCTAAATTATGGTCTACATTTAATTCTATATAATCGAATAAATCTTTTCATTTAATATTTAACTGGTATAAAATACTACTGACCATTAATATTACATATATATATATTAAGAAATACTGTCCCACTAAAAAACTATGTTTAAAAGATAATATACACCTTCTACTACCAATTAAAATTAACATAATCTCAAACTATTCATTGATTAATAAAATAAATAATACAAATCAGTATATTGCATTAGGGTTAGATATTTATAAATAATAGATAATGATATTTTATTTTAA